GAAGGAAGGAAGGAAGGAAGGAAGGAAGGAAGGAAGGAAGGAAGGAAGGAAGAGAAAAGTATTTAATAAATACTATGTGCAAGGCCCTGTACTAAACATTAGGGGTATACAGTGTGATAACACAGGTAGGAGGATTACAGATTCTTAAAGCACTGAAGAAAGAATACTAAAGAATGCATCTTTTTGGCTTGACCTAATTTTTCTAGCATTAGAAAGGTGAAATGAAAATATGCAGCTCATTTCTAATCTATATATAGATTATATGCTAATTTCTTGGTTATTTTTCTCGTATCAGGTCAATATTTTTGTTAATAATTTGACTGAAATATTGATCTGCTTCATCATGTAAACTCCCCTATTCAAGCATATGCTATAGACATTCCAATTTCTCTCCTTGGCTTTAAAAACCCTTCTGTATGGAGCCTTTCCTGATTTCTCTTCTCCCACCATTATGCCTCCACTAGTGTCCTCCCTTCCAAGCTAACTTGTATTTAACTACTTTGTACATATTTATATTTGTTAGCTTTATATTTATGCTATATATGTTTTCATTTACATTTGCTTATTGTTTTCCCTATGAACAGTGTAAGTTCATTCATATGAGAGTGGGGATTGCTTCATTCTTTGAGCATATTTCCCCAGCGCCTAGCACTATACCTGGCACATAGTAGGGAAAGGCTTAATAAGTATTAGTTGGTTGATTGATATGATGTGTTCCCAGCCTCCCTGTCAAAGCCTTGTCCTTCACTATTCCTTGGCCACAGCCATTTTAACCAGTCTTCTTAACTGTCCCCAAACTAGGCCACACCTTTACCTTCTGACATCCAAACTTTCATTTATCTTTCAGGCCCATTATCACTTCCCACTTTCCTTTTTATATGCCTTCGTGGAGATTTTCCTCCACTGTTGTAGCATACATTTAACCTGCCACTTTTAGATTAATTCTTAAAGTACTTTTCATTCATACTACTAATTTTGTCACTTATTCATATACTCGTTTGCATTGCAAATTAGCTTTTCTGTGCAGTTGCATGAGGTGGCAGCATTTGCACATGTGAGTGTTATCTCTCCAATTTTCCCCTCTGTGCCTAGTACAGTTCTTTGTATTTTTGACACTCAACAGATCTTTACTGAATAAAAGAAGGGGAAAAATAATATGGAAATTCTCATGAATTGTCATAGACTCTTAGAGGTAGAAGAATGTAGGCAGCTTAGGTGGCACAGTAGATAGAGCTCTGGCCCTAGATTCAGACCTGACTTCAAATCCAGCCTCAAACACATTCTAGGTATGTGATCCTGCACAAATCACTAAACCTCTGTTTGCTTCAGTTTCCCTATCTGTAAAATGGGGATAATAGCACCTGACTCCCAGGGTTGTGGTGAAAATCAAATGTGAATTTGTAAAGCACTTAGCACAGTGCCTGGCACATAGTAGACACTATATAAATGCTTGCAGTTATTTTTTTATTATCATAATTATTATTATAGAAATCACTCATTCCAACCTTCTTATTTTATATTTTAGGAAACTAAGGCCATAGAGGGAATATGACTTGCCCAATATCATGAAGTAAATTAGTGGTAGAGCTAGGTACAGACCCCAGGTTTTCTCACTGTCAGTATCATGGTCTTTCCGCTACATCATGCTACCACCCTCATATATGATCCTATTAATATTCAGAGTAGTTCAGCGAATTTTGGTGGATTTTGTAGTGCCAATGATTAGTAGGCAGGCTTATAGTTTGGCATCAAGATAAGAATTCAAAATGGCACGGAGAAATGAAAATTAATAGGATGAAGCTTAATAGGCTATACCCCTGATTCTTTAATTTAGTCAATTCACATATATATTATAAATTGTATAAAATATACATATATTTTAAATAAGTTTTATTAATGCCTTTTGTAACATTGTAGTGATTTCTGAACCCATTACCAACTCCTTCCCATCGACTATACAACTAGGAATTAGACCCTCCCTTATAATGAAGAAAAATTATTAAGAAAAAGCAAATGATTCCATGACTGCCTTCAACATGTGTTTGCTTTGTGGCCTTGGGATAGTCACTTAACTTCTCAGTACCCCAGGCAGCTTGCTTAAGACTGTTAACAGAGGTGTTAACAGAGGAATTGCCAGTCTGCATTGATTGAGGGAGTTTCTATACCTGGAGTTCCCTATAACCAATGAAATACTGGTCGGGACTCCCCCTCCTTTCCCAACCAAAAAATGGTACCAAGTGTGAGATAGATAGAAAGATAGATCTATATATGAATATATATTGTAAATGTGATATATGTGAATATGTTATGTATATTCTATATGTGTATGTGTATATATACATATACATACATATTATACAAAATCTAGAGTCCTTTTCATTTGGTATTATTTAAGCTTCTATTAGAAATACATGATTAGGGTAGTGTAGAAACTTAGAGCCCTGAAAAAAGCAACCAAAACGCTTAATTAAGGAAGTGTCATGTCACTGAAAGCACTGGACTTTGCATTAGAAAACCTGGAACTGAACAGTTAAATGAAAAAGTGCAGAAGCAATTCGAAGGACCTTTTAGGATCAGACATGTTTAAATTCTGGCCTCAGGACTTACTACATGATCCTTGACAAGTCCCTTAACCTCTGTTAACTTTAGTTTACTCATCTGTAAAGTGGTGATAATAATACTTGCACTGACTAATTAGGATTGTAGTTTTAGAGCTCAATCTAGAGATCAGTGAGTTCAACCCCCTGATTTTACGGATGAGAAAAACAAGGCACAAATTGGTTAAATGACTTGCCTAGAGTCACATACCCAACAAGTATTTTAGGCAAAATTTGAACCTAGGTCTTCTTTCTTACATGTCCTGAGCTGTATCCACGACATCAGTGGTGTCAAAAATCAAATAGACAATGATCCCTGAGGCCTGCATATTGACATGAGAAAGTCACAAATTAACATTATCTGTGTTGTATTGTACTTCTATTTATTTTGTTAAACATTTCCTAGTTAGATTTTAACCTGTTCAGGCCTCTCAGCCCCAGGAGTCTGACACCTCTGCTTTATACCTTAATACCTCTTCACAACATTTTTGTGGGGATCAAATGAGTAACTGTATTTTAAATGCTTTGTAGCCATAATTATAATCCAGGTTGTCACAAAGTCTTAGTTCATTTTTAAGTTTTAATAACTTAAAAATTCACTACGACTTTGGAGATACCCTGGATATCAATGTGAACTACCAATTAAAGGATTAGGAGAAAAGGAAATTTACACTAAGATTAGAAAATGGGGAAATGAGTTTAAACTGTAGATTATGGTGGTCCAGCAAGGAAGTTCGTTGGACAAGTTTCCTGAAGACTGAAAAAAAAAAGAAAGAAAGAAAAGAAAAAGAAATTCTGCCCCCACTCACCTATTCATCTTGCAGATATACTCTAGATAAAATTCT